TTGTAGGTATCACTGGGAGGAATTGACCTCCCGGCCAATTGGCTGTGAGAATCAGCTGTGTCTATGATGGGAGAACTTCTGTGCTGCAGATGCCCTTATGGGGCAAGACTTGCTTCAGTGGGGCTTTGGTGCTCACTGAGTCTGCCCCCTGAGTGTGTCCCTTATGGATCTGAGGAGTTGTAATCTGGATGGTCCCACTCTGACCACTGGGTACACTGGCTCTTGGATCTCTAAGAAGGTGCTAATTTAGCCTCTTCCTGAGGCTACTCAGCAGGAGATCTGCAGATTCCTTTTCTTTGTTTGGGATTTGGAGGTGCCCAGATGAGGCCCAGCTGTGAAGCAATGCAAGCTGCTGTGGGGCCTTGGGCCTTCTTTTGGAGGTTCTGGGTCTCTCTGACCCAGCTGCAGTTAGGTAATTTTAGATTGCAAAGGGCCAGGTCATTCATATGCAAATGCCCCTGCACACAACTTGGGTGGGGCGGGGTCTCAGGAAATCAACGGGGTGCAGCAAGCAGATATGGCTGATCCTCAGTCCTGCCCTAAGAGGCCCCGGGTCTCAGTGTCCCGGGGTAATCACTGCAAGCACCTCTGAGAGAAAGCCGCCCTCGAGTTCCGCCCGCTGCCAGACAGTCCAGTTTCTCCCTGTATGAGTCTGGTTCCCCAGAGACTTGCCTGGAACTGGAGTTCAGAGCAGTCGGGAGCTTGAGACTCCCTCCCCATTGAAAAAGACAACCTTGTCCTCAGTTGCCAGCCCTTTCTTCGTGCGCCTCCGTACCTCTGCACTTTACTTCCGCACCTCCTCTGAGTCTCAGTGTGCTTTTCTCTTTCCTTCTAGTTGTAGAATTTCCACTCAGCCAGCCTTCCTGTGGTTCTGGATGATGTCAGTTTTGTCTTTTAGTTGTATTTTTGAAGTGGTTGTGCGAGGCAGCAATTTCAGGTGTTTACCTATGCCGCCATCTTGGTTTCTCCAACTCCCTGGATTTTATACTTTCTATTTATTGGTTTGTTGTTGCCTGCCTGCTTCCCCCTACTATAATGTGGGTTTCATAAGAGTGGCTGCCTTAGCTGCCTTGCTCCCCACTACTTCTCCAGTGTCTAGGCCAGGGCCTGGCACGTGGCAGGTGCTCAATAGAGATCTCTGGAATGAACAAAGGAATGACTGGTCTACTCTAGCCCCATGTGGGAGGTTCTGGCAGCTGCAACATATATTCGGGTGATCCACTGCCCCACCACCCTTTTGGGACTCTCAGGAATGACTGTGACTATTCTGTGGCGTGGAGGAGTGCACCCCTCACAGGTCCACATGGGCCCGGACCCTGGCAGGGGACGGGAGGCCTTGCTTTCACTAGCCCCTACCTGGACACTGTGGTCTGGAGTCAGAAGCCACTGACTGGAGTCTCCCACAGGGCTGTCCCCCAGTACACAGGTGGGGGCTGACATGATTTTTAAGTGGTATGTGGACAAATGTTTTCTTTGCATAGTTGTGCATTTATTTTAATGTGTATTAGAAGAAAATCCCAACTGCACAGAAAATGTGTTCTTTTGGGGGTGTTACTGCTTAGGATGAGGCTAAATTTAAGAAAAAAAACAAGTGAGTGGATTCAGAGAACTACTGAGTAAACAGTAGTGCAAGTAGC